ATAGTAATAGTAATAGTAGTAGTAAAGTAGTAGTAGTAGTAGTAGTAGTAGTAGTAGTAGTAGTGGTGTTAGTTTTCGTACCGGTCGCAGTCGAGTCGTACTCGTTGTGGATTCGTAGTCGTAACTAGATGCAGCCGCAGCCTTAGTGTTGATCAGCAGCAGCAGCCGAAGATCAATGTAATAGAAGCTGTAGTAGTCGCAGTGGCTGTCGCGGCAAGGGCGTTACTGGTGCGAGTGGTGGAGGCGGCCTAAGACTTTCGCGGCAGGTGGACATGCAGCCGGACGGGGGAGCATTTGGCAGCAGCCAAAGCTTGTGTTCCAATTGGCCTTGGAATTCTTTTGAAGCGAGGATGGGTCTTCCGCGATTGGCACTGCTGTTTGTTTACTCTTCTTGTTTTGCATCGGGTCAGGTGCCGGATAGCTCCGAAGGACTGCGTGCTTGAAATAGGATAGCATGAATACAGGACTGACTGGACTGAAGGCTTCCGTGTCTGCTCGCATTGCCGAAGCTGAAGTCTGAATGCGAGATACATTGTTGTTTTGCATCCCGCATCCTCGAACCCGAATCGGCAAGCCGTTCACCAGGGTTTAACCGTGAACCCCGATGTGAACAATCAGACGCCTACACCAGTCTTGGTACGATGTTCGATCAATTCCTGGGCTGGTTCTTGTCATCACGCCATGGCCGTTTGTCGTGACTTGTACTGCAATGTTCATCCGTCTGAGAATCCATCAGCATTCTGCCGCACCCTGTCCTGGCCCTTGAGCCTTAACGGAGGTGGGGCTCCATCTGCGAACCATTTGGCCATTCAGACACTCGGCTTGCGTTGGTCGGTGTGGAAGGTTTGAGTTTCAGGCGTCGGGTCTTGTGCGGCTTTCAGAGTCAGGGCGGCAGGGTTGAGGCTGTCGTGGTGTCTGGTGGATTTTAGGGCATGGCGGCAGGGAAGATGTGTGCTCTGAAGGCATGACTGCGTAAGTTGTGGGACATAGTGAGACCTTTGACGGTGACAGCGATCTTCAGCCAGAGCCTTTCGACAAACCCAGCTAAGGCAGCAAGGTCGAAGATTCCTTCTGGAGTGCATGGGACAAGCAGTTTAGAGTCATTGTGGCAAGCATCATACGCATTTGCCATGAAGCTGACGAAGGAGATGATGCTGTTATTCTGGCTGTTTGTGTTCCTGTTGGTGAAAAATGTTGGAAACTGTTTGTTTTGCCAACTTTCTGGATGATGCGGAATGCGGACAACGCTCCATGTGCATATCACCCATCTTTTGCCACATGCGAGGAAGAACATCGTTCACTGGGCCGCGCAGCTTGCATCAGGCCATTGGCAGAAGCTCTGGGGCTTAGCATCTCTTCGGCAGGTTCGGGTTGCAAGGCAGGGCTAAGGCATGAAACTCTCTACACCCAAAGGCCGTTAAAGGGCCTAAAGCTGCCCCAGAAGGAGCTTGGAAGCCTGGAGTTTGGACTTTAAGGCAAAGCCCGAGATCCCGAACCTGGAGTCCCTGTGCCTCAGAGATCCACTCTAACGACTCTAGTGCTCATGTCTATAACGTCTAATCCCAAAACCCCCAAACCATGAACGCCGTAAACTGTAAAAGGCTCTGAGCTCGAATCTCCTTGCAGCAGCCCTCCACTGGAGAGGCGCGCAGCAGGCCGCCGAGGATGCCGAAGAGAGCGAGGAGTCAAACAAAGGGGGCTTAGGTAGCTTAGGCTGTAAAGTAGGGCTCTCGGTGCAGTTTCTTGCTTTCGGGGTTGTGGGAATCAGCGCGTAAACTGGGGTTCTGGATCGCGATCACGTGTCATGTGTAAGCGAGCTGCATGTGTGGAGTTTGCCGAGATTGATTTTTTGATATCCCTTGAAGATAAAGACTGATAAAGACACTTGTAATCACCAGCACAGTAACTTGTATAGTAGAACGCTTGTAGAACCTTTTTAGTATAGCTTCTACGCCTTTATAAGGCCATGAAGCCACCAGCACGGAACTTACATAGTGTAGCGTTCCTCGCGGCTCCTTTCAGACATTCGCGTCAAGGCACAAGCCCAAGGGTCCACTTATGTCTCTTCTCGGATTCTTGTTGCTGTCTAATTTAAAGGTGTTGTTTTGCTGGTCCTCCTTCTTCGGGTCTTGAAATCTCCAACATGACTGCTGCGGACACGACAACGGCAATTTTTGGTTAGGTTAGTGCAGGATTGTTCGTCGCACGTCCTTGTCGTCCTCTCCGTGGTCGCCGTAGGGCACGTCGTCACAGCAGCAGTAGCAGCAGAAGCAGGACTGACAGAAGCAATAGTCACCGTGTTGGCGATGGTATGTCGTAAGTGGCAGCCGTCCTATTTGCCAGCCGCATCTGAAAAAAATCGATATCCTAAGCCCACGCGGAGCCGCGACCGGAGGAAGAGCAAGCAGGGAGCTCTCGTCCAGGCAACTGAGCTCTAGGACTCTAGAGTCCTCTGTTGGTTTCGTTTAAGGAGTTTTGTTTTCAGACCTGCCCAGACGGCTACGGTCTTTTGCCCAAGACTGCCGGCTCTAAGTCACCGAGATGTTTGTGTTTGAGTTTACTGTTTTGAGACTGAGGCTTTTGGCCAACTAGGTTTGCGAGGGCTTTTGGACCCAGTGGTGCCTAAATAAAGGCTGCTCAAAAGGCTTCTCGGATGATTTTCCTCAGACCTAGCAGTTTTGCATGTGAAGAGTCCTGAACACGGCGTGTTCAGCACTGAGTCAGCACTGTAAACCGCACCTTGACTCGAACGGCTTCAAGATGTCTCGGGTAAGGCCTTGTCAGCGAAAGTGTCTCACACTCACATAACACAACTTGATAGCAGGGAGGCGTTTGGCGTTCAGAGATGTTGGGGCTCTCCGGACTGCCTTTTCGGTCGAATTGTGGCTGTGGTAGCTGAAGCAACAAGGTTCCTGAGTGCTTGGACACGAGTTTTCGAAATTGGAGTGGTTGCAACTAAACGATATCCAGAATCCACTTTGAGAAGGCACCTTCAGATAGCAAGACGCCAGGACCCTGACTAGTGCCCGCAATTCCATCTGTAGGTTAAGAGGGCACTCAGACACATGTCCGGACTCATTTGGCTAAGCGAGATTTTGAGATCCAACCGCTTGAAGCATCAAGATGCTTGCTTCATTTGCAACAGACAGCAGAAGGCCTTCTTCAGCGGGCCGCATCAAAGCACCTGAAGGTCCGAGGGCAAGCAGGGACCATCCGCTGGACGGGGAAGTTCCACAGAATTCCAGGGAGGTCTGTGTCGGATCCACGGAGAGGGGGAGTGCTGCCACGAACCCGACACAACAGCCATCGAAGCCCCTGACTGGCCATGGAGGACGATCGAGTCCTGTTTGAGGATCCGGAAGGAGAGTTGGCCGCAATCTGAGACGTTTGACAACTGGTGAAGAAAGCCTTTGGGAGTGTAGCTTGAAGAAGAAACGCGCACCATCGCAGCAATTTTCAGTCTTGTCTTGAAGCTTTGTCGATGACTCTCTCATGTTGTTGTTGTTGTTGTTGATGCTGACTGAGAGGATTGACAAATTGCAGATGAAGAATGACGATTCCGCTGCCACTGTTGCTTCCTCGCGACTCCTCTCCTTAGGCGAGCGGGCACGTGACACACGCAAGGTGCATGCCGCACCCACTAAGCCCCCTGCCGAGGTCGTAAAGCTCACGGCACATCCAAAAGAGTTCCGCGGAGTCCTAGGCTGGGCTTTCTAGTTGAGCTAGGGGTTAGAATTGAGTGTTCAGGGTCGTGGGCGGGAAGTTCGCCAGATGGCCTCTGTCGGCAGGCGAGCACTTCCGGAAGATTGTCGATCTGACGGAAAGGCCGCGTCCCAAGCTTACGCGAGCACGGCAGCCTTCACTCTGCACCCAGTCATTTTTTAAATCTGTTTATCAGAGAACCGAAAGGTTGGCTTGTTGAGGGTAACAGATACCAGTCGCGCAGTGCAACTTGCCCAACCGGAGCAATGGTTTTTCCGATTGAGGACACGACCCCGAAACCCTGAAAGCCGAAGCTTCCGAGGTTCACCCGAATTGACGGCTCCCTGGAGCAAGACGGGGAGGCGGGCTCCGGCTGTGTGCACCAATTGTATGTGAAGTGCCGACAAGATCTTCCCTGAGGAGCGAGGTTTTAACGCAACGTTTTCGATGCAGAGCAGGAGCTAAATCGAGATGGCAGGTCCAGCAAAAGTTCATTGCCAGCCTCAGTGCCGCCCTCGGAAGATTTGAAGATTTTGGATCCCCATCACGGCACTATGAATGCAAGTCGAAGATAAGATCTCCCTTTTCTTTCCTCTATTGATGCGATGGTGGTGTTGAACAGCTGTAGTAATTCGTCGTCTTGGAACTATCATCGCATCAGCCGTCTCAGCCAGGGCGCTGCCCTCCGGGGTCCGGCCTAAGGGGGGGGCAAGGGATCTCCACCATGGCCGGCGCGAGCACCGCGAGCACCGCAGTGCAAGGCGAGGGCCAGGGAGCTCCGGGAGCTCAGCTGCTGCTGTCGGACATCTCCATCCGCTTCGAGGACGGCACGGTGCTCCGTGTGGATGCCTTGGCCTCTGCGACGCTGATGACGGCGTCCCCGGTCTTCCACAAGATGTTGACACATGACATGAAGGAGAAGGAGCGCAGCGAGATCGAGTTGCCAGGCAAAGACCCTAAGCAATTCGAGACTCTCTTGAAGTTTCTGATGCCATCGGCCGGCCGAAAGCAGAAGCTCTCCGATGAGAATGTGGGATTCTTGCGGAAGCTCTGTGAAGAGTACATGATCGAGACACTGAGGGAGGACTGCTTCATGCCTGAAACCCAGCACTAGCATGCCTTCCGGGCCCCAGACCCAGGGATTCAAGCTTTTCGCCCGTAGATCTTAAACTCAGAGGAGTGTGTGGACTTCATTCGTACAGCGGAGCCCTCCACAAAGGTCTTGGTGGCTGCTCATGCATTGTGCCCCGGCTCGGCAAAACTAGAAGTTCCCTCAAGAAATGGTGCGTTTCTGCTCGCGCCGCACTCCTTCCTCTTTCCGTATCAGGTGCTAAGCATGAGCATGGTGTTGTTTTTGGTGTTGTTGCTGCAAATCGCGGTTGTGGTTGGTGTCTTAAGTTTCTTGGAGTATCAATGAAGATATGTTGAGGGCGCTCGAACACATAAAGCCATTGCCAAAATATGGTTCAATCGGTCCAGGAATCTGGACGACAATGTGCGCCGGGGTATCGATGAGCTGCTCGGCCGTGGCATTCGAGATTGGGGCGAGTGCTATGGGGACAGCGCTTTGATGCAGAAAATCATCGAGCGAACGATGACCTTCCTGCAGGGCAAGGAGTCCCAGCTACGCCTGAAGGAGTCAGAAGTGCAAGCGGGGATGGACCAACTTCGCCTCATGAAGAAGAAGCTCGATGGCAGCCAGTCACGGCTACAGCAGGCTGAGAATCAGCTCAGGGAGAGGGATGCTCACTTGATGAGAACCTATCGCTGACAGTGAGTGATTGCGGCAGGTGCCCTTAGTCTTCTTGCCGTGTTTCGCTTTTCTGATTTCCTTCAGTCGGGCCAGTCGGGCGCAGAAGATTGCTCCCAGTAGGGTCGGATGCTTCGACGTCGCGCGGAAGCTTCGAAAAAGTGATTTTGGTGAATCGCAGGCAGTGCTCACTTTATCTCACGTTAGTCCGCGGGGATTCTTGGTAGTATGCGCGATTGGCCTAAGGTCTTGTCTGACGCCATCCGGTTTCATTTTCATGCGTGTCGACACATGTACCGGAGACGTAGTAAGCTGCTTCAGCTCCAGGACATGATCTGAAACACCAGGGCAAGCCATAGAAGCCTCGAAACATCCTGCGCGTAGGGGCCGGATACTGCTATATGGCTTTGTGCTTCAAGCACCCCCACTCTGTTAGTGTTTTTTGTGTAGGGTCGGAGACTGCAGCGAGCATACACCCTCGGATTTTCTGTCGAGGCTTTGCCTTGGATTTTTTGTCGTGGGCAGGGTAAGGTTGTGGCCTGAACAGTCTCCGCTGACCTGTGCTGGTAGCAGGATATAGATGGCCCATAAGACCATGTAGAGGTGCCACAAATCTGTCATTGCTGCTGAGGCATGGCAAACCAGTCTAGCGCCCGTTAAACCAGAGACACAGCCTATCGAATCAATAAATTGCTCGCAATGATCTGATGTCTGGGCGTGGACAATCCGTGTCAAAATAACGTAACATAAGGTATCAGGCCCGTCAAGCCCTGTGTCGTCCATTTCGAGCTGCTTGACGATCAATCACAGCCAGCTGGTTCTTGGCCAGGGTTTGCAGGACGGCTCTGGGTCGTACCATATTTGGGACTGAATTTAGAGAACTACCCATATGACAGGGCCTCTGAAGCTTCGCTCTTGCCGGTAACTCGAAAGATTGGGGACGGCCCAGGCGAAGTGAAGCCGTGGCTTGTGGAGGCTCCGGGCTGGTTCAGCCTCGGGGCCTTGGGTGAATTTTTTTGCGCGAAACAAGCGGCCTTGTCCGCTTGAAGGGTATCTGAAGCGCTTTTCTCATTGAATGATAGTTGAGTTGAGTTACATCGTGCACTGCGCTTGTAGCTTTTACCTTGCAGTTCGACGCTCAGGAGCCTGTTGATCTTAGAAGCCCTTGTTGGGTGCAAAGCTGGGGCCCTGTCAATGTCATATGACTGCTGGTCAGCATTGAACTGAAATGACAGATAGTCTTAGGGCCGTTTATAAGATTCACACTCACTGCGGTTGCTGGCCCAGAGCGCAAGGAGCTCCAAGAGAAGTTCGACGAGAGTCTACGAGGCCATCGAGAGACGTACATGACTTCCCACAACAGGCATGGTGATCGTCATCATCGTAATCGCTACCGACATCGCCATCACCGTCACGGTCGTGACCATGATCAAGGTCATGCCCACCGTCATCATCCTCATCACCATCGCTGGTGTCAACATGGTCATGACCATTACTATGCTGCCCACCAGCATCATCACATCATCGCCACCATCACCAGCACCGGCACCGGCACCAGCACCATCACTGTCATAGTCATCGATATCCTGTCATAGTCATCCTTATCCTCATAACATCTCACCATCATCATCATCACCATCACCATCACCATCATCATCATCATCATCACCATCATCAAGATCCATCATCGACATTGTCATCGCCACCATCGCCATCAGCACCATCAACATCACCACAAAAATCATGTCTGGCACGATGATGTTGACCATAAGGCATCATCACAGCGAACATGAGACTTATAGCACTGCTTGAGAATTCTCGTTACTCGTTGCAGCTTTTATAGGATCTGTTTTGGCTTCTGCGGCAGTCTTTCTCGGTATATAGGGTCCGCAGGAAATCTCTCAATAGCGAATCTGAAGTCCAAGGCTGCTTCTTCAACGCAGAGGAAGTCGTTCATGAGGCTGGTTTAGGATCTGCATGCAGCACCTGTATTTAATTTTTATATTAGTGTTGTCACGCTCATGATAACATCGTCGCTCTAGGACTTCAGGAACAACTGCGAAGACGGCGACGAACTGCTGGTGCTGCTGATGTTGCCTCTTAAGGCTACTTCTGCTCCTAGTTTTGTCACTTGTCGTTACAACAGAGGGGACGGCTGACCGATATCGTATACAAAACTAGGAGTAGCTATACTAAGTCACCAAGCACCACAACTCTTACCACAAGAATCGCCACAACGCCTGTGACTGCCTCTGTCACTGCTGCTGCTTTCGCTGCTGCTACTTCCTTCTCCTGGTCCTCCTCCTCCTCCTCCTCCTCCTTCGCCTCTTATGCCTACTCCCACTCCTACTCCGACTGCTCCTACTGCTGCTACTGCTACTGTGTTACTACTACTGCTACTGCCGCAACTCTGAAATACTGCGAACTGTAGGCTCGCATCAGAGATGCAAACATATCGACCTGGGCCCGGCTACTAGCCTCCACGGGTTTCGAAGGGCATCCGGGCCCATGGCATGTCTGTGCTGCCATGTGCCTCTCTTCTCCATGCCCCGACCGTGATGACATCCGTGCATCTAGCACAGGTCCAGCTTGCTTGAGTTGTCCCTTAAGGGTGGCCACCTCTGGATGAGACTAGTGCCAACCCTCAAGTTGCAGCCCAGATCTGTTCACTTCCAACTCACCAGATCTCAAGACTCAAAGCATCGAAAGTCTCCTGGCTCCCGCAGGTGGGTCGCTACAACGCTTTGCTTTGGTCCCAGTCGGTTGGTGGGAGTGCAGATAGAGCACGGTTGCGCTCAAGAAATGCAAGTTTTGTCTCGTGTCATTCTGCAAGTTTTGCAGTCCGCAACGCCTCTTAGAAAAAAAAAGCCCAGCCTCTCTGGCACAGAGCCGCCCAAGCCCCTCTATGAAACCCCCCCCCCCCATTCCAAGTTTGCCACGATATGCAGTTTCTCGGGTGTTCACTGGAGTTTGGCACAGGGGCAACAGCCGGGAGCTGCCAAGTAAGAGCAAAAGCAGGCCCGCCATGGCGGACTCGTCTCGGCCCCCAATGTGCGCATCAACTCAAGACACCGGAAGTTTATTGACGTGCTCCTTTCGCCATTTTGCAGCCACCTCGCCCAACATCCGACCTCGAAGTGTCGCAGTCCACACTGCCAAGGCTCCGACGGTTCAGCAAACAGGCGCTGCAGCTATCTCGGCTGCCGGGGGCTCTGGCTGTCCCCCGATGCGTTACATTGCTGTCTCAACACTTGTAGCAGGTGTGCCGAGGCCCTAATCTGCAGGTTCTCTAGCCATACTCTGAACTCTGAACTGTGGAACATGCTCAGAGTGCTCGAGGCTACGTGAGCCGCAGCGGAAGGTGCACGAGGAGGCCTTTGGGGAGAGAAGTTCAGATTGCTTTGTAACTTCGTTTAAACCGCCCCTAGTACTTTTTCATTCAATTGAAACATGTCATACCTCATACCCGAAAGGCTTCATGTTGTGATGTTTTCTTCATTGCAAAGTAGTGGGAGTAACGCATCTTGCTTTACGTACAGACTCAGTACTTGCGTGCTCTCCCTCTCTCTCTCTCTCTCTCTCTCTCTCTCTTGTGTGCGTGTAAATGCCCCTTCTGTTTAGTATCAAAGCGAGGGGTAGGATCCCCAGTAGATGATGCTTTTCCAGAAACAGGGGTCGCGGCAGCAGTACATGTTGCTAAAGAAGCTCGGAGGTGTTGACAAGATTTTGGTCAGCTGCAAACCCGCAAGGCCTAAACCTCAGAGCCCCGTCCTCAGGGAGATGCGCCCTCAGTCGCCTCCAGTCCGGAAGCCCAGAGTTCTTGGAGGGCTCTGCCTGCCTGCCTCCGAGCCTTGAGCGACTTTCTGGCTCCGAATTTCCGAACATGGGGGTTTGCTTCAGGGAGTGCTTTGGCCTGAGGGGTCTTTCATCTCAAGTTGCGGGGCCGGGTGCGGCCGAAGCACAACTGAGGATTGTGGGGTTGTCAGGTCTTCTCGAAGTTAATCATTTTTTCGGACTGGAGAGTGTAGGATTTAGGGCTTGTTGTTTTTGGAGATGAATTTTAAAGATTTCGAGGTGTAGTTGGTTGTCGAACAAGCTTTGTGTCAAGCTTCTTTCAAGCCCGTAAATGAGGGAACCACGAAGAAGTCTTGAGATCATCAGCGGGTTGGCCTGGGGCTCTAAACTAGGATTCGGTTGCGCGCTGTTCTTGAAAACTCAGGGACTGTAAGGATTACATAGGGTTACATGAATTACATTATGATAATACATTATGATAATCTCTCTCAGCACTAGGGACTTCACGTGTATTGAATGCAGCAATTGGCAAAGGTGACGACCATGTACTTGCTCCTGCAGAGGAGCCTGCTGGGTGCTGTTGAGCCCTTTTCGGCCAGAGCTGACTCTGCGGGTCCTTGGAGGTGTTGGTGCCCAGGGCCGGGGGGGAGGGGAGTCTTGCAAACATTGCTCGTCTTGGCATCCGAAGAATCCAACCGTGTCGCAGGTGCCGAGCCGCTTCATGGGGCTCATACAACTGAGAGGGTAGTCATCGCCGTCGGCCAAGGAACCCGAAGTCTCCTAGAGTTCCGACCCAGCTGGCTTCCCCAACCGTCGGCCCTTGAGCCCTGAACTAGGGCCATTTAGAGTGGAGGACCGGGAGGGTCCCAGCGTCAGCGCCTCCGAGGCGGAGGTGTCCACAGCTCAGGGTCAAACTCCTGTTGCGACGACTGTCATTTTTTCTCCTTTGGTTGAGGGTCGCTCGGAGACTTAGGAGATTGCTGGTCAGTCAGGGCTGGTCTTCATCGCCAAAAGCCGTAGGATTAAGGCAGACTAGAACTCAGCAGTGATCTTGAAGTTCTTCACGTCCTGCATCGGAGACTTCCTGGCTGCAGTTCCCAAGGTCCTCACTTCAGTCCGAGCCCACGGGCGACGGCGAGGAGGAAGACAGGCACTTGTGCGTCAGCGACGCGGTGTCATGCGTGCTTTGCCTAGGACTTCCAGCATTCACAGAGGCCTACGGAACA